TATTTGGTTGAGTTCCTAACCATCCAACTAACGGTACTTGTTGTTACAAATCTGTATAATTGTTTATAATATTTCATAATTAATAAAAAGATTGAATAAATATTCCTTTTCAATTTTAAAAATACTCCGTAATACTACGTATTATATAGCTATGAGTCAAACACAAAAGCATTGATATTTTTTTAATATTATTTTTTAATAGTAAATTTTATCTTTTAATTTAGTAAAATAACTCAAGTATATTAATATAAATTTAGTCAAATATTATAAATTACTCTCTTTATGTATTTATATATGAGAGAGAGAGAGAGAGAGTGTGTGTGTGTGTGTATATATATATATAATTATTAATATGTTTAAACCACCGGTTCGACCAGTTGAACCACTGGTTCGACTAGTGAACCAGTGAACCAGTACGTTGACCGGTTCGGTCACCGGTCCGGTTCTCAAAATTATGGTTCACACTGTCACTGTTACATTGTCACACTTACCACATTGTCATTTTGTAACTACTATGCTATCACTACTTCATTGTCATCCGTCACCGCCAGCCACTAGAGTACCACCGCAGATCGTTGACGGTTGACTGATCACATTAATACTTTTTTACTTCTATCTAGAGAGATTTTTTTAAGTAATAAGTAAAAATATAAGTTGAGGAGAACTTGGCTTAAATAAGAGAACATCACTGTAAAAAAGTAAAATAGATATGTATGTGTGCGAAATTATTTAAGTGTAACGCAAATTTTATTGAAATAACTCGCAAGATCTTCTATTATGAAAAAAGACATCAAAGGTCTTTACATTTGGTTGTCAAGATAGGAGGCATTTCGTTCTTTATTTTGTTAATGACCGTTAATTTTTTTTTCTTATTTTACTCTTATAGTCTTATGTTAATATAGCTCATGGCTTACTTTTTTAGTTTCTTATTTCTTCTTTATTTCTCTCTTTTTCTTCACTTTGTTTCTTTTTTTCATAGTTTTTTCAACTTTTTATGTATTGTCTTTTCAAAAATTCATAATTATTTGCCTGATATAAAAAAATAAATACAATTAAAAATGACTACGGTACAAACAAAAATACAAAACAAGAAAAATACATTTTCTAAACGATCATTATAAGAACAAGAGACGAATGTCTCCTCTTAATTTTTACAACAAAATGTAAGAGTTTGATATTTTTGTTTTTGAAAATAGAGGAACCTAGGACTAATTTGGAGTGAACTAATTTTTCACTATACTCCTTATCTAAGACCGCGAGTGCGGAGTAAAAATTGGGGAGTGGCTTTTCGGCTTTTCCAATTCAACCTGCTTCCCACCTGATAATTCACCTTTCTTCCATATTCATCCATCCAGGTATTTTTCAAGTTTATTACTCGAATTATTTTCATGTTTCATCTTCACAATTCTCTGCCCAACTTCCGACATTATCAAATACTCCGAAACAAAAATCGCCTCTTATTCCAGTTATCCATATACGAGACACGATTATTAGATGTTTTCATCATTGATTGAATTCTTAGATTGTCGAAGTTCCAAATCTGAATCACTAATACTCTACAGATTTTCTACTAACCTCTAATTTTTGAAGATGTGCATAAAACACCACTCTACAGATCTTATTTGCTTCATTATAGCATATTATTTTCCAGGTTTTCAATTCTATATTTTATTATTGACATCAGGCTGGTTTGGCTGTATGTATTTATTTTTAAAAAATTGGTAGTATCTATGGAGTATTGCCTTAAAGATTTTAAATTTTAATACTATTTACCGAGTATTACTCAATGAAATCTGCATTTTGTCAGGTTAGGGTTTTATATACATAAATATGTAGCATTTAGCAGTGTCTATCACATTAAAATGTTTGTAATTTAATTTTGAATATTACATGTTAGTTCATAATCTGCATTTTTTGAAATCAGATTCCTTGTATTGCTTTGAATAAATGGAAATTTTATGCGTAACATGATACATTGGTGTTGTGGAAAATATGTGGAGAGAGCTTAAGCTGTTTTCCCCGCTCCTTTCTTTAGCCGGGGATGAACTTTTCTCTATTGTTATACTCCGTAGTTTGTTGTAGTACATTTTATTGATTACAACAAACGTAAATTCTTCCGTGGACCTAAGGTTCATGCTTATTTTATGGACCTTAGTGCATTTGTAGCATAAGAGAAGTGGACCTTTTTGCAAAATAAAAAAATATCCACATGAAAACCCATAAACAATGTGAGAAAGTCTTCATTTTAAATGTAGACATTAAGACAATGCAAGCATCACTCTATCATCATGGGGTAGAAGTCCACTTCTTTGCACCATTCACAACTTAATCCGGAATGAGAATCCCGAAGATTGGATCTATAAGATGTATGATCAAGAAGTGGGATTGCTACGAGAGATAGAAGACTCGGATGCTGCGCCATTTGAATGAGAACATTTGGAACGGATTTTCCATTTGCGTGACTATGTATATGCCAATGGTTTTGCTACTATCTAGCCTGTGTTCATAGAGATTAGCCATCTAAAGAAATGAATTCCAGGTCAGTCATATTACCTGTACTATTGTATCATTAGCTATATCTTTCATGCTCTCACAAGTATATTCTCATTGTCCATTTGTACCACCAACGAAAGTCTTGATTTACTAATTCCCTACTCCCTCCATCTCAAAATAAAGTTTCTGATCATTGTTTACATGATCAAATTTTTTCAACTTTCTTTGTTATTAACGTAGCTCATTTGATAAAATATAGTCATCCCACTTCTTGTTTGGTCATAAACAGTGACGAGAACTTCATATTATATTTTTTATAAGCTACAATTATTATAAACTACAACTAATAGAAAACAGTTATAGCTATGTTTTTTATTTTAGTGATTTAGCTAAATTTAAACACAAAACTTGGTTGGAAACTTTTTTCAAAATATAGTTAGAAACTAAGAGGCTGTTCTCTTTAACTTATTCTTGTTGGAATCACACCAGATTAGATCATAAACAACATTTGCTACAATTAAATGAGGTCAGACTACATCTTAAAATCCAGGTCAGAACCAATGCAAAGAGAAGAGGCCCTAAATATATTTAAAATAGATTCTTGTTCAAATTTATTTATTTGTGACAAATAAAGTTAGAAACACATGTATGCGACAAAGAAAATGTAAACTTATTTAAATCAAACCATACATTTAATTAAAAGATGGAGGGAGTACATCGTACTCGTATTATTTATTATGAGTAAAAGAGTGTTTATTGTGACTTCACATTGCATAGGAACTGAGAAGTCATGCATAGGTAACATATTAGAGCATTTGCATAATGAGGGGAGCGCCATGTTGAGGTCGAGTTGTCACCATTGAAAAGGGAGCGTGAGCGTAAGAAGGAGAGAGTTGAAAAGAGAAGCGTTGTAGGATCATCGCCATGGCCATTTTAGCTTCCGTTAAAGCAAAGTTTTGGCCAATGCATATTCGAGGCCCCCCTCCGAATGGAAGGAAGGCGTTTTTACCATTTGTTGCTGCCACTACCCCTTCCTTGAACCTGTCTGGTTTGAACTCTTTTGCATCTTCTCCCCATATCTCAGTGTCAAGATGGAGAAGAAGTATTGGTAATGACAACAATACCCCCGGAGGAAAAACTGTGTCTCCTATTTTCGTCTCCTCCATCGTCCTTCTCGTCAGATCAGCTACTGGCGGGTATAGCCTTAGCGACTCATACAAAATCATTGTCACCTGAAAAGATAATGTCAGGAGTCAGAGTTTACTACTAGGAAGAGCATTGCTGTTGGAATCATGATGCTGTCAAAAACACTTACAACTTTAAGGTTATTTAGTCTTTCAAAATCTGGCTCCTCATCCCGGCCGAAAACATGAAACACCTCTTGTCTGGCCTGTTCTTGCCAATCTGGAAATCTGCTTAGAAGGATCATAGTCCAGACGAGCAACACAGAAGTTGTCTCCTGTCCTGCAAAATAGAACAATTTGCACTCCTCGATGACATCTCCAATGCTCATTCCGAACTCCTTTTTCCCCTGCTTTCTGATTTCTTCCATGTTGGATTCCAATAATATGCCTAATAAATCTTTGCTCTTAGCATTCCCTTCCTTCATTCTCTTGCCTATAATATCCCAGATCAATGATTTCACTTCCTTCTCGATGGCATTCATTCTTCTGTTCCTCTTAGTTGGCAAAAATCTGCAATTTTGAAGCAATGAAGAACTTGCATGTCTATGAGAAATCAGATCCTATCGACATAGTGATTAAGTTTACTTACCTCCACCCGGGCACATAAACCTGGCGTAAAACTTCCATAACGTGCATGGTTTGCTCTTTTTGGAGTTCAAAAATCATCCTTCCTTCTTCGTAGCTGCTCCCGAAAGCTGTCCTAGAGATCACGTCAGCGGTCAGGCCTTCAAGGTCTGGCCACACGTCAAGCTCGCAAGACTGTTTTTGCGAGACAATCTCTTCCCATTTTTTTATCATTTCACCACAACTTAGCAAGAAAGCTGGTTGCATTAGCTGTTGATTGGGAGATATTTGTCAAAAAGAATTTGCTTCCGCTCATCTTATAAACAGGTTTGTAAATGCTACATATCACCAACATCCTTACACTTAATATATTTGAGAATTTTGACAAACATTGCAGATTCCCAAAGTAATCTACCATAAACATGCCTTTGAACAAAAAGCATACATAATGTCCAAAAGCGACCGCAAGAAATAACTGAAATAATAAAATATATCACCTAAAGAAACGCACCTTGAGCTTCTCTGTATGGAAGGCTGGATTGATCAACCTTCTGTGTTTTGCCCATTGATCTTTCTCATAGCTGCCTAGTCCTTGGACCAACTTCCCTACCAGTGGGTTCGTCGGGGGCTTCTGAAACAGATGATGTTTATTGAGAACCTCCTTTACCAAATCAGGATCTGTGATGAACACCATAGGCCGTGGACCCATCCACACATAGCAATTCCTACCTGTCAGCATGCATCAAACCAGAAAATATTATATTTAATGTCCCACCTCAGTTGACCAAAGACAAGACAAACAAACAGGAAGTACCATATTTGTTGATTTGATGAAGATAAAAGGGAATGAGTCTTGTGGGTGTGTAATGATCAGAGAGATCCATGGGTTTAGAAGTGGCATCACTTATCATGGTGGCAAGATCTTTCATGTCCCCTGAGAGGACTCTGTAAGGGTTGCCCTTCAGGCCTTGCTGTTTGAGGACCCTCTCCAATCTCTTCGGTTTAAACCAAACCCAATCCAAAGCTCCCCATAGTAAGAATGAGAAGAAGAAGATGGATGCTAAGAAAGCCACTGCAAGTAAGAAACTGTGAACCTCCTCCATCTTAATTTTTCAATGCAATGCAACTGCAATCAGTCTTGCTGTCGGAGTAGTTTATTTATAGTTAATAATGGAAGCTTCTTTTGATTGATGGCCCACCCACCCACTTTATAATTTTTTCTTGTTTGCGAGTACTATTGGATTGCAAACCCCTAAGAGCAACCCCAGCAGTGAGTTTTTTCTAGATGGGGGAGAATTTTTTTTGCCATAATCATTGCCCAGCTGTGGATTTTTTGAAGTCTCACTAGCACGACCCTTTTAATTTTGACATTGTTGGGAGTGGTCTAAGCCTATTGGATATGGTTCCCCTCATCCCTCCTCCAAGTGCCTGCTCAGTGTCATGTCAGATTTTTTTTTTTCAATTGCTATTTAGATGACCAAAATTTTAATCACTTTTTTAACTTATTTTCATTAGTCATTCGATAAAATAATATAGTCAAATGACATGTCAGATTTTTTCTTAATTACTATTCACATGACTAAACTTTAATCACTTTTTTTTAATCTTATTTTCATTAGTCATTTGATAAAATAATATAGTCAAGTGACCTGTTTTGTAGAACTTTTGATATAGTTTTTAAATATATAAATTTTATTTTAGAATTTTACCCTTATAATCAAATACTTCGTAAATTGACTTGAAAATAACTTCAGTCAAACTTCGTAAACCGAAATGGGAAGAGTATTTAAGACAAAATGGGAAGGATGCTTTAAGACGGAGAGAGTTAAATTTAAAAATACTACGGAGTATTAAATACTCCCACATCCCGAAATTGATTATAATATTTTTTCCTCTCACTCCATCCAAAAAGTATCTCTCCATTCACAATTCACATGGTTAAACTCTATTTACTTTGTTTGCTGAGTTTCTTTGCCCGTTTGATAAGATAATATAGTCATGTCAGCTCTAATTTTGTAGATCTTTTGATATAGTTTCTAAATATATAATTTTTATTTTTTAATTCCACGTTATTTTTTATAAAAATGATTTGAAAATAGTTTCAATCAAACATTGTTGATGGTGTCAATTGTTTTGATTGAAGGAGGGAGTATTTGTTTAATTTTAATGATTATTTGATAAAATAAACTATTCGTGTCACTAGTATAATTTTTTACGAAGTTTTTTAATATGTAAATGTTGTTTTTTTATTTTTAATCCAGTTTTTAAATAAAATAATTTTATAAAACACGAGATTTTATTTTATAATGCGACAATTGTAGTCTAATATAAAATGGAGAGAAGAGATACTTAGGGCATTTGCAATGGAGAAGGAAAAACCGAAGGAAATAGAGTCGCGCTGCGGCCAGTTACTATGGACGTCCGAACAATGGAGTCTGGAAAAAAAATTGATCCGGCGCGACGGTTGATAAAGTTCATGTTCATTTTATGAACGTTAGTACATTGATATCATAAATGAATTGGACTTTTCATAAAAAAGAAAATACTCATTCATCAGCCTATGAAAAATGTAAAAGATCCATATTTTACTTGTAGACCTCAGAACGAGAGAAAAATAACTCTTATTTAGGAGGGGGTGTATTTATTTACTAATCGAAGCTTCCTTTGGATTTCACTATGTCGAATTTTATTCTCCGCAATTAATTTGGGAGGGAGTGTATTTATTTAGTAATGGAAGCTTCCTTTGACTTGATGCTCTGGTGGATGGGACTCTCGTGTCGTTGGGTAACAGGTCTAGTCAAACATATCATGGCCTACCTTAGGGCTGGTTCAAGGGTTGGATCAAGGTATCCCATGCTTATTTTTTTCAAGGCTGAATATTTTTAATTTTTTAATTATATATTATACTTTTTGATAAAAAATTTTAAAACTTAATTTTAAAGGTAGGTATTACGACACTTCATTTAATTACAATATTACGATATTTTATGTGTATTACTATAATATTAACTATCGTTTTAAAGAAAATCGTTTATATGCTTTAATTCGTTTGGGTCAAGACCCATTTTTTTGTCTCATCGACGACCATCGATTCTTCAGGACCGGTCATGGCCCATCCTCTTTATTTTTCTTGTCTTTGCCATGGTTAGGGGTGTATAAGAATTGAATCGAAACAAATATCTCATTATTCGATTCGTATTCGTTTTAAATAATATTTATTCGAATTCATATATAATTTAAAATTTAAGAAATATTCGTATTTGATTCGCCAACATATATATGTATTCGAGTTCATGTTCAAATATTCAAATTCAAAAATAGTAGAATTTTTTAAATACATTTTCTAAAGATAGTATATTATAATTTTTTTAAGCTACGAGTTACATAAACTGCTATAAATTTGGAAGCAACGTCCCCAAAATATACTTGAAAAAGGGAAAATATGGGGTTGACGCTGTAAGCTTGTGACACTGGAAAGGAAGATGAATGATGGAAGCCTGCGACACGTTGTGTTATGCTGGAAGACAAAGTCGATAGATGACGATGAGGACGACCGATAAAATTGAAAGAAGAAGCCTTAAGTGTACGCGGTGGTGAACACGGTGATTGATAAAATAGATAAGATTGGGTTTGTTTGAAAATGGAAGGATTTTGACCATTAAAATATTTAATCCAAGGTATACAAATAACAAGGGTTTATTTGGGTTTATTTATTTATACTATTCGAATAATTTGAAATATAAACGAATTGAATCTATTAATACTCGTATTCGAATATAAATCGAATCTAAAATTTGATTTGTATTCGGATTTGAATTCGATTAAAGTGAATACGAATCATCTTTTTCGAATACGAATCACGAATCAAATTAATTATATTTGGTTTGTATACACCCCTAGCCATGACCCACGTGAGGAATTAATTCCGAAAGAAATATAAGTCATTCCTCCCCACTGCCACTCACTCTTAATCTGCAGCTATTCTGTGTCACATCAGCACTTAGTGTACTTACCATCTTACTCACTTCACACATGTAGTGCTTCACTCCTTTTACAATGATTACTGCTTAATTAGAAATTCTATCTTAGCTTTTAAAAAAAATATTTTTTTGTTCCCGGGTTTATTAATTTTTTTAATTCATTTAATTTTTTCTTTCGGGTTCATTTCAAGTTAGTTTTTTCTTCTTTCAGTTCTTTTGTTTTTAAATTTTATTTTTTCCCCTTCTTTTTATTGTATAAAATTAAAATAAAGAAATATAAACTACAAGTAACACTAATCTAAATGATACAAGTAACACTAATCTAAATGCTACAAGTAACACTAATCTAAATGCTACAAGTAACACTAATCTTCACTTTTAGGTTATTGTGTGTTTCTCTATTACGGACTTGGGCACGTCTTGCAATTCGTTCATCATCGGTGACCTTGATATGGATATCATGGTCAGTTCTTTGTCACTGATGTTATACGTGCAATTCGTCACTCTATTACGGACTTGGGCACGTCTTGCAATTCGTTCATCTTCGTGGAATTCACATATATTGCATACGTAGCACAAAACATGTATAACATGGTCAGTTCTTCGTCACTGATGTTATACGTGCATGCAATGAAAATTGCATCAAAACTTTTACGCTAGGGGTTTTTAATTAAAACTAGGGTAATTTACTTAAATAGGACTAAAACATAATGACTTTCTCAATATAGGACTATATGTTTTTATTTCCCAATGTAGGATCATTGGTCATTATGTATTAGTCATTATTCAACTAAATGTCCAGCATCACTTGGACATTAATCTTCTCACTGGTCATTATTCATTCCTATTTAGGGAATAAAAAAGTTTAAGTCCTACATTGGGAAATGACTTATGTTTTAGTCCTATGTAGTGCAATTTTCACTTAAAACTACTACATATAATAGTCACAAAATGAAAATTATACATGCACACAAAAATTATTAGTACTTGGAAAAAATATGTAGATAATAGTAAAAAAACAGAATAAAAAGTGAATGAAATAAGAAAAATGTGTTTGTAAAATTATTATTTATAAAATTAATATAAAATTATTTAAATAATAAAATATCTATATAGATTAAAAAACATATTTTTAAATTTGAAAACACGTTGGTATAAAAGTTAGAAAACGAAGAGCTATATAAATTTATAAATTTTATTTTTTGATTTTACATCTACAATCAAATAAATTGCATTGAAAATAAAGTTGGTCAAACCTCGTAAACAGAAGCGAGAAGAAAATTTTAGGACGGAGGAAGTAATGATATGATGTGACATAGTATTTGGCAATGAAATGCTCATGTGGTATGACACATGACACAATCATAATTAATTCGCTTAATTTAACAAAAGCAAATTGTTCTACTGTCCTAAGGTCCACACTCTTTTTTATGAATCTTAGTACGGAGTATATAAACACCATGGCTGAATTAGGCTTTTTGAAAAAATAAAAGATCCATATGTCAACCACTAAAAGTGTGGTAAAGTCCACATTTTATATGTGAATCTTATGATCATGAAAGCACAACTCTTTTATATATACTCCCTCGTCTCAAATTCATTTTCTGTTCAAACAATGTGCAAACTTACATATTTTTTAAAATGATTTTACCTTTTTACATATTTTTTAAAATGATTTTATCTTTAAAAAGGTATAGAAATAAAAAGTACAAATTTTATATTTTAAAATTCTATCAAAAGTTCTACAAAACAAGATGTGATTAAAATATTTTATTTTATCGAATAACTAATGAAAACACACGAGTAAACACAAGTTATTTTGGAAACATTGTTCTTTTACGGTAGCTATTATGCTATTTAATTATAATACTACTATAATTTTATTATGGAGAAAAGTGCATCGTTTACCTCCAAGTTCTTTGAAACTTCCATGGTTTACCCTCGAAATTAAAAATTGGACCAAAAACCCTTGAATTCTTCACAAATTGTACGGTTTATCCCTAAAAATTAAAAAGTGTACCAAATACCCCCGAACTCTTTGGAAATTGTATGGTTTACCCTTGAACATTTAAATAAAGATGATAATTTTGAAGAAAGTTACTTTTGAGAATTCACAAGGGCTAGATGAATCTTACTCGCAATTTCCATA